ATTCTCATTGTGTCATTACTGTAGAGTCTAAACTGAAAGTGAAGCTGCTGAATAGAGGACAGTTGATAAATAAAATATTCAAATCAAAAAAATCAGAGACTCAGTATTTCCGAACTTCTCTCGTAATGAAAGCAGGTACTGACTCTACTGGTATAATTTGTCTATACTACCTCATCACAGGAAGAGAGGAGACATTAGTGGAGTATAAGAAAGAGATTGAGTTACTACAAGAAAATATATCAATAACTAGTGTACAACTGCTGATGAGTCAAAAGGGAAATATTGAGAGTATGTGATATGTTAGTAATTAAATTATTAACTGATTGATATATTGTATAGAGAAGGATCAGTTTACACAATCACCAACAGCAGAATCTATTTACACAGCACGTATCAATCATAAAATAAGAAGCAGTGATGATCTTTCATTTAGTGAGGGAGAGCAGCTGGAGATATATGAGAAGTGGAATAGTTTTTATTGGAAAGGAAGATCCTTGGTGTCTGGTGATTTAGGAGTCATTCCTAGTAGCTGTGTTTACTCAATGTTGGAGTCACTTCAATTGTTAGAGTTTATACTGTCAGTGGAAAAAGTGTCCCTTCCTATTCTACAGAAGATAAGGAATGATTCATCTAGTAATGATGAGAAAGCTTCTCTTTTCTTGGAGACTATTAATGATGATCCTATTATGATACCTGCACTGAGACAAGACAAGGAACAACATGATAAAGGTAATATTTGTGATTATATGTGACCATAATTGACAAAAGGGCCCTTATGGCGGATTTTAAAATTGATCGTTATAATGGAAAATATCAACCTGTGAGTGCTTTGTTAGACAATCATTGTTCCTAAAAGTTTCATGGTAACTTTTTGCATCCTGTGGAGTAATTTTATGATAAATGGGGCTCAGGAAGTTGGATTTCTTAGGCTAGAAAGACAAATTTCACTACCCGCCATAAGGTACCTTTTGTCAATTATGGTCACATATTGTGACAGTCAGTAAAATTATTCCTGAACATGTACATGTATAATGTCATGTTTTAGCTAATGTTTATGTAAAAAAATTGATTAAAGCCCTTACTGTGATTTAATTACTGTATACCAGTTTATTTTCGTGGTAAAATATTTTCACAAATTTTATGGATTTTGATCAGTCGCAAAAATTCTTCACCACTGCTCTCCACTGCCATGTGGTGCAGTCTACAAGCAATTTGCGAAAATTAATTCTGCAAAATCCTAGAAATGCAAGATTCACAAAAATTTTCCACCGCGAAAATAAACTGGTTTACAGTATCTGTATATGTATAATATATATCATACTAAACAGGTCTATATACAAAAGATGCGATATAGCCCGAGGGCCACAGGCCCTCTGAGGACACCCACCAAAGGTCTATATCTTTTGTATATTGACCAGTTCTAGTATGTTATATAAGATATATTTCATAATGATGACAGCATTTCTGAATGGCAGGTATATATACAAAAATATAAACCCGACCTCATCAAAGGATGATGTCATAATTATGAGATATATTATGACATTATCCACCCACCTCAGGTCTATATTTTTGTATATAGACCTGTTTAGTATGATATATAATACACATAATGTATGTCTTGTCCCTGTGTATCTTGTGTGTTTATTGGCCTCGCCTACGCGAGGTATAGGTAGTTGTTGTGTGTGTCTGTCATTACCCGAGACCGCGTAGGCGTAGTCGAGGGTAAAGCAGTCGTCCTGTCTGTGTGTTCGCTTTGACCTCCACATTTGAGCTGACACTGCTTTCTTGTCTTGTCCCGGATAGTCTTATAATCAACACTTGCTCTAGAAAAAGTTATTCTCCGTCTTGGGAATCCTTGATTTGTCTTTTCCGTGGTAAAAGAAGCTGGCAAAGTCGCCAAACGCAGTCGGCTCTCCTGCAGCTCTTTCGTAGTGAAAGCAAAAGAGCAACAGGGCAGATAAAACAATAAAGCAAAGCCTCATCTTTCATTAATATGAGAAAAATTGTTCCAATCTTCTTCGTTTTAAAGATATGATAGCCCAAACTTTCATACCTTGTGAGTTTAGACGAGGCTCTCTTCTCCCGAGGTAGCGGCCAGAGTCTTTTAACATTAGGGACTAGATAGCAGTTTGTATGCAACAAATAGAGCCTAACAAATGTATGCTAAACTGTTTAAAAGTCGAGAAAAACCAAAGCTTTCTTCACCACTTAGGGCCATGTGCCACCATTTACTGTGTGTGGGGGTGGAGCATGGCTTGATTGAGCCACACCTTCTTTGCAGCCACACCTTTACATTGCTGCAGCTAGCAGTGCAGCAAATATGCTGGAGCTCTTTGTTTAAAAAAACAAAAAATTCTTTGTCTGTCTCAAAACATTCACTAAGTTTTAATAAATCTAGTGCATGCTGAAGCTTCTTCTCTGTCTCAAAACTTTCACCAATTATTTTCTCTTAATTTAATGAAACTGTTACATACAGATTGTGTCGAGGGTATGCACTTTAGTGCTCTCGTTCATTCTGTACAACTGAAATTTGTCTTTAATAAACAATAACTTTAGCACAGCGTGTTCTAAGCTCCTAGACCTTTCTTATTGACTTGAAAAAGTCTTTCTTAACTGTTTTGTGTTGCTCAAATACAAGTGCTAGGTACAGAAACTTCAAAGTAAGAAAATCGAGTAGTTGAGCCAAGTTCCGTTGTGTTGGCACTTTAGAGATAGCTGGTAGCATTTTTCAGTAGATTAGAACATGGCCTTCAAACAATATGAACAGATTTCTCTAAATCTTACTTGAAAAAGAGTTATACTTACTTGAAATTGTTGAGGTCACTCGTTTGTGAAGCGCTAGAGCAACAACTTGCTGGGTTATAGGTACTAAAGTACCTATACTATCTCAAATATACAAAGGCAGCAACTTTTCTGTCAGCAAGTTCATCTTATATTGCTGATTAGGAAAGAAAAAGTGAAGCTTCTTTCTCACATGGTCTTCTTGCTGCCAATCATTCCAGTTAAGTTATGATGGAATGCCACACCTTTCAATCTACATGCATGGGAGGGGCTGGAGCTGCTTGCATGTATGTGCTGCAGTGCTGCTACTTCTGCAAGTATTCAAGAGCAAGTGCAACTGCAGGAAGCTAGTGTTGAGCAGACTCTCTTCATGCTGATAATCAAACAGCTATTGCAGTGCGGGCATGCACCATAGCAGCTATAGGGGCGAGGCCATGCACCGTAGGTGTCTCGTTTGATTATTTTTTACTTCCAATTTTACTCTGTACATACTTAATACATTATAGCAGACACACACATTCACATAATACAGTCAGTCAGTGACAACTACTAGCTGTGTCTGTATTTGTTTATGCAAGTTGTGTGTGTTTGTATATACACATGACGTGAATATGTGTATTATTATGTACATACATTTATATAAGTATAATCCTTTGGTTTATATTAGGAGTCACTGGGAGTGTGGACTGGGACAGTGACAGGGTATCCCTTGAATATCCATCTCCAGTTCAGTGTAATGAAGTGATTAGTAATATTAATAATAATCATGAGAAGATTGAACTTGATAACTCATCTACTAATAGTACAGTATCTCTATTATCATCAACTAAACTGCATACACTAAACCTGAGGAGACTTGAGATATGGTACACTCCGTTAACTAATGATTGTATCCAGTACTTGTGTATACTACTAACTAATAATAAAACAATACAAGAACTAGAAATCAATTTTGACTCCATTAGTGATAGAGGAGTTACTAGTATCTGTCAAGCACTTGAACACAACTCTACACTTACCTGATTAGATCTTTATGGTAATCCTCTCATCACTTCTACTAGTGGACAGGCTCTTTCTCACCTCCTCCTCAATAACTCATCACTAGTTGAACTGGATCTAAGAATGACTTCATTGTCTACTGAGTCAATACTACTCATCCTCCAGTCACTAGTAATGGATAATAAAAATATAAAACTCATACTAGACTATCGACACAAAGAGACTTGTATTAATACTTATCCTAACTATCACCTCATACAAGACAGAGTATATTGGATGTAGACCCAACTAATGACTTAAAATCTTCATAGGAACTTATTAAACAATTTTAGCCACTGCATGCTTGCATTTTTTTTCCAGCAACCAATCTACATAAAATGTGTAGCCAGGAAATTATCCACTAACATGCATATCTTGTACATCTTTCTCCTGCTCACACACACACAAACACACACAAATACACACACTGATAGTTAATGATTTTTAATTAGATGTGTTTTGTCAAGGCCAAAGAATTTTTGGGCTATATTATAGTAATTTGTATCAATAGCATCCTTCATTCTATCACTGCACTAGTGATATCAGGTTTTATTCAGGCCTTTGGCTCTGAATTTATGATCTTTTGCAATTTTAGTGACTCTATCACAGCTTGTACAACATATGTGATAGCTAACACATGGTGACATGCAACTGCATAACAATAAGACGATAAAATCATAGTAACAATTCAGCTTTCAAATTAATACTATACACATTTGTGAGTACACATTAGTACTTAACTTGCCATATTTCTTGGGAAAAATGCCCATAGCCTATTAAGCAGAAATGCAATTAATGTGGGAGATCTATCACAACAGATAACAGGGCATGCATGAGTAATATATAGGTATGATTTTTACGTACTTACTATTATTGTATATCAATTATCCTGATGAGTGTCTTAGTATCTATTGTTGCAATATTATGTACTCTTGGTTTTATTGACTAATTCTGGGTACTAAAATCATAAAAGTTAATCATCATGCAGATAATAGGCATATAGATAAGTAATTATGCACTCTTGATATTGGAGTTAATGATCAGAAGTACTCTAATATCAAGAGTACATATACATACTCTTGATAATATTAAGTAACAAGCCATGCATAATTAGTTTGTTGTAATATTACAGTCTTTCAATAATAGCATTTTACTAGAAATAATGCTTATCATCTAAAAATGATAAAAATAAATGATAGTTTCTAGTTGTATTAGCAATAATAGTTCTTGTAATAATCAAAATGTAAAAATAATTAAAATTTCATCGGATCAGTTTTGTTAACAGGCTTTGCTGTAATCCTCATGACAGCACCACCAACATATTTACCAGAGACATCAATCAACTGACCATTATCAACCTCAACCTATCAAAATATGGTACACCATTTACACAATTTATATACAGTATACTCTAAGAAGTAAGTAAATAAAGCCTCTCTCTTAAAAATGGACAGGCTTTGGACACCTCTAATGGACAGGATAACATTTCCAATATGATGTAGTAGCAGTACAACTCTCTAACTCTCTTGTCCATTTAGAGGCTATATATGATTATCATTGATACTTTAGGATATGGATGCAGCATGCACATGAACAAGTATCTACCAGGTCTATCAATGATTGAATCATGGACTATTATAATTAAACTTACTCTTATACAATAGTTAGTTTCTCCTTCCTTTATATAGTACAGAGGAGTATAGGTAGCATAGCCTGGGTTTATGTTGAGAATCTTTTCAGCATCTTTCTTCATCTTTTGAGCAATACTTGTAACTTCAGGAGTAACATCGATTGGATGAAGACTCTCTGCTGGTGTAGGGGCTAGTTGTTCAGGTTCATTACGGTCTCTGTTGCTTGTCATTGGGAACAGAATTTAGTTTTACTCTTACTGACCTGGACTAAGAGAAAGAATAGTAAAATACTCCTCCAGATGCCACTCATAATGAGCAGGTTGCATACACCCACGCATGTCACCTTAATTTAATTTGTTAGCTAACTTAGCATGCTTTGTGATAAACTCTACATTGGCTATATAGTACATATGCATAGGTGTACATGAAGCTCTCCCTCCTCCAATCTCTTACCACATCAAAAGGTGTTAAGTATTTTTTGTCAGACATAACTTCAGTATTGTAGCAATGCAATCAGTTTGTTGTAGACAAAGCAGATTTCTATCATTTCTACTTGATAAATGAGGGTGTGTCAAATGTCTATCATGTAGTAGCAGGAATCCTTACTTTTTGTGTCCATAGCATAATATATACAAATATTTAAAAATAGCATATTACCGGTATGTTTAAAATATTAAAAATAAATAATGATATTCTCTATAGTAGTATAGATCAATTAAAATGATAAAAGTTGAAAGTTGAATGTCATCTGATCAGTTTTAGCAACAGACTTTGCTTTAACTCTCCTGGCAGAACCAGCAGAATATTGACCACAGACATCTATTAACAGATCATTATCAACCTCAACCTAATGAAATACAGTCAAGTATTATAAAAGAAGCATTGTAATGTCGACCCTCTTTTAAACAAACAGGCTATTTAAAATGGACACCTACATATAGCTTCATCAGACAGCAACTATGACAATATGATACAGGACAAGTCTCAAACAAGTCAATTTAATAGAGGCTCCATTAGGATGCATATGGATGTGAACATTTGATTGTGAACTGTAGTTGAACTTACTCTTATACAATAATCAGTTTCTCCTTTCCTTATATAATACAAAGGAGTGTAGGTAGTGAAGCTAGTCTTGAGTTTCTTTTCAGCCTCTTTCTTCATCTTTTCAGCAATGCTTATCATAACTTCAGGAGTAAGCTTACTACTTCAGGAGTAACAGTCATTGGAACAAAACCTTCTGCTGTTGTAGGGGGCAAATAGTCTGGTTCATGATGCTCTCTGTTGCTTGACATCATTTTTTAAGAACAGTGCTCTTAGAAAGAAAGATAGAAAGTAGATCTAGGCTAGCTACTCCACCTGTATACACCCACGCATGTGACCACATCAATGTACTCTACATCACCTTCAGTTATTATGTACTCTTGGTATCATTATAATTAATACTTTTTATGGTATTATACAACAATTACTTTATTTGTGGGCATAGAGCTACCATAATACTTGACACATATCTCTGGCCAAATACTGCCACAGTTTATTGAGCAGGAGTGCCTTTCTATACATGCTGACATCCTATAGCCTGTACTCAATGGCCTTGCATGATAAGATATGATATATGATAGCATGAAATGCAATCAGTTTGCTGTAGCAACAAGTAGATTTCCATCATATCTACTTGATAAATAATAAGGGTGTGTCGAATGTATATCATGTAATAACGTTACTTTTGCATCCATACAGAGCATAATATCTCAAAATATTGAACAAAAAATAATCCTTCTAGGCCTGAATAATAACAATTACATAAAAGTCAAAAATCAAATTGTCATTCGATCATGTTCAGTAACATGCTTTGCTTTAACTCTCATGACAGAACCAGCAACATATTTACCAGAGACATCTATCAACTGGTCATTATCAACCTTAACCTACAAAATACGTCATATTTAGAAGTGTTGTAACAAAGGTCCTCTCTTAAATGGACAGACTATTTGAAATGGACACCTATACATGTAGTACCATCTGAGAAGCAGCATTTATTACATTTCCAATATCATACAGGACAACTCTCAAACTTTGTTGTGTCCATACGGAAGCTATATCATACCATACTCTAATATCTATCATCATACTTCAGTTTGCATGCATGCATATGCACACTAGACTATAAAAATACCTTTGATTGAGCCATAGACTTACCCTTATACAATAATCAGCTTCTCCTTCCTTTATATAGTGCAATGGAGTGAAGGTAGTGAAGTTAGTCTTGAGCTTCTTTTCAGCATCTTTCTTCATCTTTTGAGCAATGCTTATAACTTCAGGAGTAACAGTCATTGGAACAAGACTCTCTGGTGGTGCAGGGGGTACATAGTCTGGTTCATTACGGTCCCTGTCACTTGCCATTGCAAAAAGATTTTGTTTGGTGCTCAGACTAAGAGAAAGAAAAAAGATCAAACTCTTTAATGGGGTGGAAATCTTTAGACTCATGCAGTCTAAATGTTTCCACCCACAAGAAAGCAGATTAGGTTACAAACACCCACGCATGTGACCTCATTGAACTTGCTAATAAAATCTGATCACTGACTTTGTTACAAGACACAGACCATTAACTGGGTCACTTGAAGATTACTGCATGAAGTCTCTATACACTTTGGCTTTTGTTTTCAATTTGAATCTACTACTCATCCTCTAAAACACTCTTTCGTCAAGCACAACACATGACTAATGATGTTAAAATACATTATTTTTATTTAAAATAGACAATGATCTCTGAAGAATAGTTTATGTTAATAATACAGTGAATGGTGAAATGAAATAAAATTATGATAGAGTACTCTCTGGTTGGCTCTCTTTATATGAATGATCCCAGTTGATCATAAAATTCTTTAAGTCGTACAGTTAAATGACTAAATCTTGGTCTATCACTAGGAGTGAGGGCCCAACACCAACCCATTAAACTAAACCTGTTGATAGAAGAGGGAGAGAGAGAGAGAGAGTGGTAAACAAATGTGATTTGGTTCTTACAGATCATCAGGACAGTTTTTAGGTTGGGGGAGTCTGTGGCCAGTAGTTAAATAGTTTAACATATTTTCAGGTAGTACATCTTCATAAGGAGTCTTTCCTCTTGTCATTATCTCCCACAGTACAACACCAAATGACCACTAGAATATACAAACAATGAGAGACCATCAGGTACAAGCTATACACAGTTACTCTTTATAGTAATAAAGTAACACAACCACAAACAAACTGCGAACATTAATACCCAATATTACCGGTTTTACCACATCAGGCATTTTACAATTTACTATTAACATCCAAAATTAATGCTTAACTACTGTCAAAAATTATTAGGCCAATAAACCTATGCTATAGTACAGGGTATTTTGACTAAAATTACAAGAAAAAATTCTCCATTTTTATAATTTTTTCTGATACATGTACATGTCCTTATGCTGTTTATCAAATTTGAGCCAATTCTGATCAAATTTGGATTTTTAATGAATTTTTAAAGTTGCTCAAAAATCGGGCCAACAACCAAAGGCTATAGCCTTTGGTCAAGGGCCAAACTTTGTTAAAAATGACTAGAAGAGAATTCTCCATTTTTATAATTTTTTCTGATACATATACATGTTCTTATGCTGTGTATCAAGTTTGAGCTGATTCTGATCAAATTTAAATTTTTTATGAATTTTTAAAGTTGCTAAAAATCGGGCCAACAACCCAAGACTATAGCCTTTGGTTACGAGCCAAATTTTGCCAAAAATGGCTAGGAGAGAATTCTCCATTCTTATAATTTTTTCTGATACATATACATGTCCTTATGCTGTTTATCAAGTTTGAGCTGATTCTGATCAAATTTGGATTTTTTATGAATTTTTAAAGTTACTCCAAATGCTATGTGCTGTATTGTAATGTAGTCTGGTTGCTCATGAAGCTCATCCTGTTAACATGTACAGTACATGTAGCTCACTGAATTAACATGCTTTGTGGGAAACCCTTAGCTATTATACAGTACATATGCATACATGTATACATGTACATGTAGTTCTCCCTCCTCCACTCTCTTACCACATCAGAAGATGAGGAGTATCTTTTGTCAGACAAAACTTCAGCTGCCATCCACTTGACAGGATAAGCAATAGTCTCATCTCCTCCTCCTCCTCTCTCTTCTATTGTATTATAATCTTCTGGATAAAAATCCCAACTAAGTCCTCTGTCACCAATCTTTACATGTAGATTCTCGTGAATACTATTAATTATAAGTAACTCCACCCACTTCAATTAATACTCTTACTATATATTCCTACATGCCAGGTCTTTATGTACTTGTCCTTTTCTAGTTAAATGGTACATTCCTCTGGCCACTTGTTCAGATATAAATACAAGATCATGTGTTGATATATATGTACACTGACCAGACTGGAGAGAGAGGGAGAGAGGGAAATTTTTCAATGCAATACATGTACAGGTATACCATTAATATAACAAAGTGTTAGCACAATATATTTTTAAGAAAATCTTCACTGTTGTACTTGTTATTGAATACTTAAACCTTTTAAAAGGATGATCTGTTTGTGGGGAAAGTTCAGTGAAACTTTCCACTTCATATAGGGACATTGGGAATTGCAATAAGAAAATTAGCAACAATCTAAAGCTGATTAAAGTGCAATTCATAGTAATAGAGTATGAGGTAATTTCAGAATGCGGTTTATTTTTAATGATCATGCAGTGCTAAAAAATTCTATATAAAAGGCTATCAAAAATTTTAGAATTTACAGTACATGTAATACCGTATAGCGGAAAATTTTGGAGGAAGTTAAATTTGGTGAATTGCTAAATTGTGGTGATTGGCAAATTTTAATTTGGCAAATTTGTGCCTTTTGTGGCCATGTGCCATTGAGCATGTGTATACCGCATAGCGGGTTTGTTTCGTGAGGCTAAACTTTTGTTCTTTTCGTTCTTCAAGATGGGAAAACGAACAATTAACCAAACGAAATTCCAGTTTTAATGGGCATGGTAGCTTAATAACGTCTTCAGAATGAATGTTTAACTTCACAAAAGTCATTTTGAGGATATGGAAAACGAAAGTTTACCCTCACAAAACAAACCCGCTATACGGTAATGGCTCAAAATGGTAGATTTTATTTTGGCGATTGGCTAAACATCAAATTCGCCAATTTAATTTCCTCCAAATTCAGTACATTATGTGTACATGTACATGATACGTGTATCCTTACATTATTTCCTGGTAACATGATTCCTCCTCCTTCTCTTGTTTTCAGTAATAAAGTTTTTAAAGTACCAAATGAAGATTTGGGATAGAGTAACATTGGTTGTTCTAGATCTGAAGCATGGGCACCAATTAGAGGTAATAAATGACGATGAATCACACCCCTTGTAGCAGCCCCGCCCTCCAATAACGACTTCACAACAATATCAGGAGTATTATCTAATTAATTATTCATTGTTATTATCATTAATGAATATTAATTACCTTTAACAGTTTTAATTATTACTGGTATTGCTCCTTCAACATCATCTTCAGCATTAGTTAAATATCCTTCATACATAACACCAAACACACCTAATAACCAGTAATAACCAGTAATAACTATTAATAACTTTTAATTACCAGTAATACCTAATAATAACCACAACTGCTAATACATGTAACTATTAATAAACAACTTGGAGAACAATAAACATATCTTTATGTTCTGTATAAGTGGTTTTTTAAGGTTGCGAATTTCACAGATTTCGCAAATTCCTTCCTGATTTGCGAAAACAAAATCAGTGAAAATTAATTTAATACGGTACCTGCAAGGTACGTGGTAGAATTCGCGAAATTAAAATCCGCAAATTGGAATTTTAGTGGAATTCATGAAATATAATTCCCTCAAAAGAACCCACTTATACAGTAACTAAAGAGTAGGGAAATTTTCAAATATTACATATACAGTAAGTGCTACTGTACATACATACATGTACTTAATACGTACGGGTCGGGTATGTTACGATATGCAATTGCGTATTAAAGTTAACTTGGCCCTGATCTCTGCTGTACATGTACATGTAATTTAGAAGGTACAGTATACGTTAAATGAGTCTTGAGGTTTATAACCTCATAACAAATCATTCCCAACTCACTATCTGTACATGTACATGATGTATACCCAAACTGGCCCATTGGTCATTGATCATTACGGCTTCACTCATTCCATGGAAAGCATGTGGTAATGCATTAGTGAATATGAGCTAGTGATCATGAGTGGCTTCAGCAGGTATAGTATGAATTAGTAGTGGCCAAAACATCAAAGAAGAATAGTACAAATACTAATAAAGCATTATTAGTATCTACTATTTACAATTTTAGTCCAATATAATACATTTATATTCTATAGAGAGGCTAGTATTAATTAAAGTACCTTCCATTAGTTTAGCATTAAATTGTATTCTTTTCCTATCACATTCCTGTGGTTTGCACTTGTGCAGCAGCACATTTTTGTGGTTTTAGAAGAGTGTGATGCTGCAAAATGTGCTGCTAACTTCAATGGAGTGATATCCCTGAATGACATCAGACTCCGAATGGATGAGTTTAAATTGGATCCCATTGATAGGTGTCTGACTCCAGGACGAGGGAAGGGAGTGAAGGGAGGGGGAGGGGGAGGGAGAGGGTGAGAGGGAGAGTTGGGTAGTGTGGAGACATTTAATGGAGGAAGGGACATATTGACCTAATGAGAGAGAGAGAGGGAGACATTAAAGGGCAACTGAATTGAATTTTTTGGATTTTTCAATAATCAAGTCACAGTATCTATATAACATTTGAACAACAGTTATGCACTTATTTTGATCAAAATGTCTTTCACTTGCAAGAAAATGCTCTTTAAATTTCATCCTTTTTGTTGGCAGCCATCTTCTTCCTGTTTCAACAAACAATGCGGGGGAGTGCAAATTGTGATGTCATCAGATGCATTGATGGCTGTTCCTTGCATCTCTTTCATGCAAAAAGAACTTGTTGCTACTGGCCATGGTAATAATAAATAAAAGCAAATTTAGTATAATTTATTTCCAAATGATTTAGTCAAGTGACTGCTGCACAAAAAAGTACTTTGTTGGTCCTGACTAGCTATTAATGCATCTGA